ACAGGACAGTCCCACGGTGGGGAGAGGGGAACTTAATTCTTCAAAATATGAATTTGGGGGGAAACGCCACCCACAGTAGCAGTGAGACATTCCGCACACAGCGTGCAGAGAGGCGCACACTCCGTCAGGGCCCTGGGCTGCGGCCCGCAGGGACCTGCTGGTGGAGGGAGTCCTGAAGCGGACCTGCAGGGCCAGGAAGCTCCCGTACCACAGAGGCCACGGTCCACTCGCTGACCCCCGTGTGGCCACTCACTCGGTGGTGCCCGAGGGCCAGCCGTCAATGTGGAGAGCAGCCCAGACCCGCGCTTACACAAGTATGAAATCCCTTCCAGAGGAAATTATGTAACAATTCTACCTAGAGGACATTCTAAAACTCCTGCAAATCAATAAGGAAAAGACAGATATCCTAATGAAATATGAACAAAATACAGGCCATTCTGGTTATTTGTGGTGGTTGTCCTATATAATAAAGGCTAATATGCAAATCAACCATCAGTCAGACATCCCCCGAGGGCTCCGGGACTGCGAGAGGGTACAGGACGGGCTGGGGGGACCCCCCCCCGGGGACCCCCCCCCGCCCCCCACTGCATGAATTTCATGCACTGGGCCTCTGGTCCTCTATAAAGAAGCTGTAAACACTGAATTAGCAAATACTGAGCCATGGCTCCCAGTGGAAAAACAGACAGTTTACTGCAAGTGGTCCCGACGTCTCATCAGCCATCACATCCCCTGTGTCTGTGGCTTCTGCTGTGTCACTGACGCTGCACTCACGGCCAGCGGAGCTGGGCCCGGGCCCGAGGCAGCTCATGACAGCGCCCTCCAGGCAGCAGCCTCGGCCTCTCCCCCAGGAGCAGGGCTGCACTTCCGCACCCGCTGGGGCCATTTCAACAGCAAAACCACCACCAACAGCCTAACGCGAAGCAGACCTCCAACAAGAAGGCCCGCCTCCGCGGGGACCCCGCTGGGCCGAGCGCTCTGCACATGCCATACGTGACCGTGACCGTGAAAACAGCCGAGCACGGGCTTGGGGTTGCAAAGACACTGTAGTGAAGTAACAGAATTTGCAGGCATGAAATCCTCAAACAAGGAGGGTAAACTCTATGTGAATGGGCAATTCTATGGATATTAAACCAATAAAAACATGTTCTTCACCACTTACTGGTCAAATCTAATGTAAAACTACTCTAAGTCACTACTGGACACCTGAGTCATTTGGCACCATTTGAAGTTCTGGGAAACACGGGTGAGGACAGTGCTCTGCTGGGGGCTAGGGGCAACCTGGTCGCAGCGGGGGTGCTGCCGGCAGTTCCAGTCCCAGGTCTCCGACCCCTGAGGTCTCTCGCCCACAGGACAAGGAGGCGCTGGCAGATGCCAGTGAGCAGACTCCCTCACTCGCAGGCACACAGACGCCGGGGCGGGGCGGGCTCCCAGTGCAGTGAGTGCTGTGCACACATCTGTAAACACGACAACAGCCTGCATGTAGCAACTGAACTTCCAGATTGGAAATCCTCCTTACCAGCCTCTAAAATATGAACTTATGGGCTACTTATAAGATACCCACATAAAACGGATGCCAAGAGGCTGGGGGACAGTGGAACAGGAAGAGGAAGAGAAGTCTGCAGCAAATGCAAACAAAGAGAAAACCGGGGGCAGTGTCACTCTGGCAAACTAAACTCCAGGGGAGAAGCGTTCATAGGGACTTCCAGACAAACACGGCCAAAGCCATGCAGCCTCGGGCCTACGGGCCTGACGCACACGCAGGCCCCTTTAAAACGGACAGCTGGTGGGAACTGGCAAGGCCAGAACGAGCATGATAGCTTTCACACATTTCCAGGTATCTGTAACCCACGTGACAAAGAAAACAGCCGGTTTTAGTAACACGCTTCACACACGTGATCTACTGTGTAAATCAAGGTATGTGTGGCCACCACCAGGAAACAGTTATTTGTTGAAACAACAGGACATGTTCACAAAAACTGAACATATCTAATTGGTCACAAAGAACACCTTTACCGAATTATCAAAAGTAAAATACACCCCAAGCTCACTGATAAAATTCAACAAGAACAGGAAACTGAGAGCCTGTATCCCTGGGCCCAGGGGGATGCAGCCAAAGTGGATTTGTTTGAAATAAAAAATGACTGATAAAAGTAATGTTTTAGAAGTCAGTAACATAAAGAGTTAAAACTTACAAAACAGTGTAGGAATCTTAAGTATTCCAGGAATCACACACACCGGAAGGGCTCAGTTACAATGACTGACCAGACCAACTACTGGTGAGTGCGTGCAGCCCCCGAAACCCCTCCCCGCCACTGGGAGTGCAAAGGGCACGCCCCCTCGAGGGAAGGCGTATCTCTCACAGCACAGCATGCACAGACCCTGCACGCCAGCAGTGCTACCCCGAGGCACTTCCCTAGCAGAGATGCTTACACGTCCACAGACCACCGTGTGAGAAGTCCATCACGTTCATGCCAGCGGGAGTGGGTGCCCCGCGGGCCCAGCGTCCAGCAGCACTGTCCAGCAGGACACAGTGCCCTGCTGACACACACAGCCTGATGCTTCTCGAAGGCAATGCCCTGTGCAGGAAGCCAGGCTTGTGTGGCTCTGTGCTGTGGCTGTGTGTCTATGAAGTCCTAAAACACATAGAACCGTCCACGGCAGAACACCACCAGAACGGTGGCTGGCAGGGGAGGAGGGGCGTGGACTAGGAGGTCACCTGACCTTCCAGGGATGGGACTCTCTGGGCCTGGCCAGGGTTGGATTGCAGAGGTTTCTGCATTGGTTGGACCTTGTTAATGGAATACTTAAGATTTGCGCATGTCATTGTCTGTAGGTTAACTCACAAATGAAACAAGAATGTTCAGATATGGAACTCGTTAATGGCTTCCTTGCTAAAAAGTTCCAGGGAGTGCACAGATATCTGCACCTTGTGAGGTGAATAAAAAGACAGCCTGCTGGCTGGAGACGGCGGGAAGAAGCAAGAACACTGGCAGGGGAAGTACCGTAAATGCCAGGGTCCAGGTGGTAGGTTCCGGACTGAATGATCCCTATAAAACTCTTTCTACTTTTCCATTTGTTTGAAAAATTTCAAAATAAATGTTAGAGAGAAAAGGACATTTTAAAGCATGAAAGAAGTGGTCCTTGACAATTCAATTAAATATTAATTTTTCTCAAATTTATCTAAAAATTCATTGCATTTCCAAGCAAAACACTATCAGAATATTTCAAGGAAATTAGGATGTTCCTTAATAAGACACATGAAAACCCATATAATTATCGACAAATAACAGAAAATTTAAATTTCTATGTTATCAAGTAGATGAATAATTATTAAAAATCACTGAGAAACAATGTAAGGGCAACAGGCAAGGACTATGAAGAGACACCGCCAGAGGCAGGGGGAGCCTGGGGGTGTGACGCCGAGCACTCAGGGTGACAGGGTGACAGGTGGCCAGCACTCAGCGGGACAGCGGGACGAAAGGGAGCGGGCAGACAGACATGGGGCTACACTGGGGACAAGGAGACGCGGGTCCTCTCAGGTGCGGCAGGGAAGCGACTTGTGCACACGTGTGCCCTCCAGGCTCTGCTCTTCAGAGTCCCCGAGAGAGACTGTCCACGTTCCAGGGCACAAGGCCTCGGGGCTAATGAGGGCGTGGACATGCAGAACGCCCAGTGCAGAGGCGGGCGCCCCGTGGGTGTGGCCAGGGGGATTTAAAATGTACTGACAGCTAACTATCCTACCACTCATGCAAAAGAGGGAGCAAGTGGTGCTGTGTCTCTTGGGCCCACATGTGTACCCAGGGCACAGAGGCCGCATCTGCACACCCACCTGGCCACGGGGCCTGGGCACAGGCCCGAGGGCCAGGACTGATGAACTGTCACTCTGCCAGAACTGCCCGAATTATTTTGACAAATGTGTTGATTTGATCCATAATTTAAAATGAGAAGAAAATAAGTGTAAAAATATTGAATTTTTATATAAAACTTATGTAAATGCATTTGATATTTATACATTTATTGAATTACATTATAATTACATATAAGTCATATTTGTATACTCCATAACAACGGTTGCCAACCGGTGGTCCGTGAGGTCCGAAAGGTGGGCGACTGCTGCTCTACAAAATACTGTTATATACTTATTATGTAAATTAATTAATGATACAAATAAAGAAAAGAAAAACTCGTTCGAAATGACATATCTTTTCTAAAGCCTCATAGATGTTCCCTTTGTGCAACTTCTTTCCTCACGACGCACATGCGTGATGAAGGAGCAAGGCGTGGGCAGGGCCCTGAGCGCAGCCCCTCCCCCAGCTGCTCTCCGCCAGGCACCTGCTGTGCTGGGAGCCTCACCAAGCCCACTGCTGGGCCAACGCTCCCGCGGCACCAGGGGGCAGGGACACACAGCGTGTCCCCTCAGAACACTGCGGTGCAGCCGTGCCCTCCTGTGTCGGGGAGGCAACGAGGAACCCCCCACTGCAACCTCACACAGGCCTGCCGAGCCATCCTCAGGCCACGCTGCGAGCATGGGGTCCAGAGGGGACCCCACGGTGCACCCGTGGAAAGGCGGTCCCGGGAAGGCCTGAGCGCACGCCCCTGCAGACCTGGCGAGGCTCTGAGCCAGGGCTGTGCCGGGAAGCGGGCCGGGCCGGCTCTGGCTGGGCGGTGCTGGGTTTCAGGGGGAACGGCCTCCCTGGTTCCAAACGCATTTGAAGACCAGGCTGGTGCCCGCGGCCGGCCCTGCGTGGATGCTCCACCAGGCGTGAGGGGGCCACAGAGATGAAAGGACCCGGCAATCTCTGTTTTTATGACATTTTTCCTAACACCAACTGGGACAGGCCATGGTTTCCCAGCCCACAGCAAACGCATTGCCATCCTCGAGTGACGTCCGGCCAACTTCCAGCAAATTCCGTAAAAACATGTGCTTGCTGGATTTAAACCTGGATTCTTACATAACGGAGCCTCAGAGAAAGAATGGTTTCAGGAAAACAGATACTTACTGAAAATTATGGTTTGGGCTGTGTGTGGGACCTAAAAAGGAAAAACGGGCATGTTATTAATGCTTCATGACTTGGAACCAAACTTCTTTCCAACCCCGCATCGGTGAAGGCGCAGCAGCGCAGGGCGCCCGTGGGGAGCTGCCTCAGCCGGGCCCTGGCCCCTGGAGCCTGTGCCCGGGGCGGGGAGCCACACCCCGGAGGGCGCCCTCTGCTGGACATGCTTTTATGTGGTTTTGTTGTTGTTCATCCTCACTCGAGGATATTTTTTCCATTGATTTTTTTCAGAGAGAGTGGAAGGGAGGGGGAGAGGCAGAGAGAGATAAATATCGATGTGAGAGAGACAGCCACTGACTGCCTCCCGCGTGGGGGCTGGGATGGAGCCTGCAACTCAGGTCCCTGCCCTTAACTGGGGATTGAACCTGAGGCCCTTTCGTGTGAGGGCAGACGTTCTAACCGCTGATCCACACTGGCCAGGGCTTTTGGACCTATTTTTGTAGTTTTCACCGTCTTGCTCTTTCTCTCTCCGCATCTAACCTTGATTCACAAGACCCATTTTCCTAATCGGTGACAGAGAGGCTGGGGCATTCCAGGGACCTTCTCAAAAGGGGGATGCGAGGGGGACACCCTCCTTCTAGCCATGTACCTCGCACAGAGTTCAGAGCTGTCTTCACGCTGGCTCCCCCACCCCTGCCGGGCCAGGGGTCTGTGGGCTGGTAGGTGCCAGGCCTGTGGGGGCTCAGGCTGTGTGGGGGCCTCCCGCAGGGTGACTCTGTGGCCTACGACCTGCCCGCTAGCCCGGGACTATGTCCTGCGTCCAGCGTGTCCACCGTGTCCCTCCCTTTTCCTACTAGTGCGAGGGGCAGGGCACGCTGGCCCGGCACGCTGGCCGCTGGCCCGCTGCCGGGGTGTGTGCTGTTTCCCGCTGCCAGTGACTCTCCCCCGGTGGCTGTGAAGCGCCCTCGCTGCAAAGCAGGCCCAGCCTGTCCCCACTCACCGAGCCGCACGAACAGGACGCCGGTGGCAGTGATGGTCTTCATCCCATTGGTGGCCACGCACTGGTAGTAGCCGGTGTCTGTCGTGTCCAGGTCCTGGATGCGGAGCCGAGAGCCGTACTCCGTCTTGCGGATGATGACGCGCCGCGGCTCCTGCACCACCGGGGCGTCGTTCTTCAGCCACCGCAGGCTGGGCGGCGGGTGGCCGGCCACCTTGCAGTGCAGAGTCGCCGTCTGGCCCTGGACGATGGTGATGTTGTTCACCGGCTCCAGGAAGTTCAGAAAGTAACCTGCCAAGGAGTGTCACACAGGAGCCGGCTCAGGCGGCTTCAGTGCCGGCCGCCCGCGCCCCGCCCCCGCCCCCAGCCCTGGGCCCGGGCGCGCCCCGCAGGAACCGTCCTGGAACGTTGCCGAGAACACGGGCGCGGGACCAGAGCCACGGCTGGGACGGAGCCTGCGGCCCGAGCACGCGTCACCCGACCACGCAGGGCCTTGTCTGAGGGGCTCTGCTTGGAGGCGCCCGGCTAGTGCCCACTGCTGAGCCCGCGTCGCGCTCCCGCCCGGAGGAAGCTGGGCTGGCGCCGGGGATTTCTCCACGGGCCTCGAAGCCTCTCCCAGGACAGCACTCAGCACCATTACAGAGCGCTGAGCATCTTCAACAGTGAAATCACCAACAAAACGTGGAGTCTCAGGACTCCAGGCCCTGGGGCCTTGTTAGCAGGGAGTGGACAGGCTGGCAGTGCTGCCCCTCCCGCCCCCGCTGGGCCGCGTGCAGCTGCTACTCAGGTCTCCGCTCCGCATGCCTGTGAGCGACAAGACGTGCGGAGTGTGGACTTGGGGTTACAAACACTCTCCAGGCAGGAGGTGAACACCTAATATGAACCACATCTTATCTCACTAACTTACGATGCACATTCGCGCTCAGAAAGCCCATCCCTCCTCTCGCCACCCAAAGTCGTCCTCAGAGCAGCCAGCCACCGGCCAGGCAGGCAGCCCGCCAGGCTGAGTGCGCCGACAGCTCTGGCCACCAGCCCAGCTCAGGGGCAGGAAGAAGCCGTCCAGGGCTCACACCCTCCAGGGAAGTACCCAGAACACAGATGGGGGTAGGGGGGTAGCTGGAAACACTGCCCTAAGCTCAGCGGCAACACAGGCCCTGAGGAGCCAGAGGGGAGTGTGTGCAGGGCAGGTGAGGTGTGCAGGGTGGTATGTTTGGGGGTGTACACGTGGTGGTGTGTGTGCATGCGTGCGTGTGTGTGTGTATGTGTGTGCATGTGTGTGTGCATGTGTGTGTGTGCGCGCGCACGTGTGTGGTGTAGGTCAAGGGCTGGGGATTATTCTCTCTTAAGATAAACCCACACGCAGCCCTGGCCGGGGCTCAGTTGCTTGGAGCCTTGTCCCACGCACTGAAGGGCCTCGGGTTCCATTCTGGATCTGGGCACATATGGGAGGAACCGACTGATATTTCTACCTCTCTCCCTTCCTCTCTCTCTAAAATCAATAAAAACATATCCTCAAGTGGGAATTAACAAAACACACACACATGCTAAAATTCCATTCACATAAAAACCCCACAAGATTAGAGAGACAAGACATCAATCATCAGGGGATGGACGCACTTCAGACAAAGCTGAGATAACAGCTCAATCTGAAAATGACTGTAAAACGAGTTCATGTTCTGAATCTTTTGGCTTGATTTCTGGCTGGCCCCTAATTCTTTTTTAAAAATAATGTGGAAAGATGGCATGTCTCTGTTATTCCTGATTTGACTGGACAGACAATGATGGCATTCCTAGTGGGCTCTCGGGTACGTTTCACAGGGTGTGACAGCCCCTCTCATGCTGAGGGGGTGGGGGCTGAGGGGGAGGTACCTAGGGGGTGGAAGGTTGTGAATTTCAAGTCAAAAGGACGGCTTCCCTTCACAAGGGAGACTGGAGGTATCTGTCTGGAGAGGTGTCACTCATTCACACTGGTTATTATGTATGATTATTATCTATAAGAATAAAAGCATAATATGGAAGGATATGCTAATATCCTTCCGAATGTCCTTCCAGATGACCTTTCGGATGAAGTCAGGGCTGTGAAGGCTGAGGTAAGCTGCTGGCAGCTGCGAGGGCCGAGGCCCTTGCATGAATTTCGTGCACCGGGCCTCTAGTCTATATATAAAAGGCTAATATGCAAAGTGTCCCCTCAGGAGTTCAACCCAGAGTTGGCTCACTCGCTATGATGTGTGCTGACCATCAGGGAGCAGCACAGAACAAAGGAAGGCCCTGGCCAGCAGCCAGAAAACCCTGATTGGCCCTGATTGCCGGCCAAGCCTAGGGACCCTACCCATGCATGAATTTCGTGCACCGAGCCTCTAGTTGTTAACAAATATCCTTAGGTTCTGCCTTGCTTCCTTCCTAGCCAGCCCACTTCTCATGCACTGAATTAAGCATTGAAGAGAATCCTATGGATGACACAGAGCAGGAAGGTAACTGAAATGTCAATGACAACCCCCTGAAGAGACCTTCCATGCCCGCGGTGACACTGGACGGACGCTCTTCATTAGCCCAAGTGCCCCTGCCACTCTGCAAGCCTGCGTCTTGACACGAAGTCCACTCAATCGGACAGTCTGTGCCATTGCCGGTGCAGCGTGCGCTGTAGCTGGTGCAGCAAGCGCCATTGCCGGAGCAGCCTGGGCCGTCGCCGGAGCAGCCTGGGCCGTCGCCGGAGCAGCCTGGGCCGCCCGACAGAGGATGTGAACACAGGTTTCACTGCGTCTGGCCAGAGCCACCTTAGAGAGTTTCACACGAAGCACTTTCAAGGTGCTTAATATTAAGGTCTTTGTAACACTGAATGCCCACGAGGGAATATAGAAGAGTCGGCAGGTTGTAATTTAAAACAGCAAATGACATGGTCAAGTCACAACACTCTCTCCTTCGGCATTACGCTTAGTTTTGATTCTCACCCGCACATGGGACAAGCCACGGCTACTGAACGGTACGCACGCTTCAGGCAACGACAGGTGTGGGGGTGTCCCGAGCCGCAGGCCCAGGGGTCCGGAGGGCCAGGCACATGGGCTCTGCCAACTGTCATCTCACCCGGGGGCCGGCCCAGACCCCTCCCCCCCCCCACAGCTGGGCATCTCCATGGATCAGTTAAATCCCTTGAAAACCGTAGAAGGGCTCTTCCTCATGTGGGAGAGACATGAGTCTGGGAGGGGAGGGGAGGCAGGCTGGTGGCAGAGAGGACGACCAGGAGGTTCCTCCTGCACATGAGCCTGGGAGGCCCGGACTGTCTGTCTGATCCCGAGCAGCCCCCCGCGACTTCTCCAGTCCCCTCTGTTCCCACGCAGCCTCCTCTGACCCGGGGCTACCACGTGGACAACTGTGTACGTAGGCTCCTCTCCGAGGCGCATGCTTGGGCACGGCAGCCGGTGCCAGCCCCTACCGACCGGGGGCAGCCGTGCTGCAGCCCCAGCAGGCTCGGCTCAGAGAGGCCAGCGGCTCCCCACGGAGGCTGCAGCAGGAGCAGCTGCAAGGACGTGCTGGAGGCAAGCTCCTGGCAGGGCGACTTCACTGTCACAGGCTCCTTGGCCTGCGCGTGTGCCGACCCGCAGTGGCAGGGGAGGGGCAGGGGCAGGGGCAGGGGAGGGGCAGGGGCAGATGGCGGCTGCAGGGCTGGGGCCGGGTTAGGCAGTGAGTCCTGATGGGAACGGGGCTCCCTTTGATAAAAAGGTGGGAACCAGAGAGGGCGATGGCTGTGGACATTACCAACGCCCTGGCCGGGCAATGCCGTCTGGGGAGGATGCCAATGTGAGGCCGGGACTACAGGGGCCGGCCGGCCGGTAAACGAGGGGCCGCGCTGAAAGCCTCCTTCCCGGAGAGCCTGCCGCCCTCAGCTTCCCAGCCGGGCCAGGCAGCCCCCGTTTCCTCCTAACCGAGCCGAGGCCCCTTCACACGGATCCCTTTCCCTCTCAACTAGAGGAACACTCGCGGAAGCCACGCTGTCCTCGGTTCCTGCACGAAGGAGGATCCGGAGAACTCGCTGCCCCGGGGCCCTCAGCACCCTTCTCCCCGCACTGTCTGGCCCAGCGGCTCGCCTCTGATGCGCACGGAGTCACCTGGGAGCCACAGGAAGGACCCGCCTGCGCTGGTCCCCTGGGTCCCGTCAGTGCCTGCGCCCGAGCTCTGCTCGAGGGCCGAGGAGAGAAGCAACGGGGACAGCCAGCACCAGTGCCCAGCGGCCACCGGAGGCTGCCCAGCTGGGAGCGCCCCGCTCCGCCCCACCCCCACCACTCCACACCGCTCCGCCCCGCCCCGCCCCGCCCCGCACCACACCGCCCCGCTCCGCCCCGCCCCGCCCCCACCACTCCACACCGCTCCGCCCCGCTCCGCCCCACCCCCACCACTCCACACCGCTCCGCCCCGCCCCGCCCCGCCCCGCACCACACCGCCCCGCTCCGCCCCGCCCCGCGCCACACCGCCCCGCTCCGCCCCACCCCCACCACTCCACACCCGCCCCGCTCCACCCCGCACCGCCCTGCCCCACCCCACACCACCCCGCTCCACCCCCCCCCGCCCCGCTCCACCCCGCCCCGCCCCGCTCCACCCCGCCCCCACCACGCCACACCGCCCCGCTCCGCCCCACCCCCACCACTCCACACCCGCCCCGCTCCGCCCCACCCCCACCACTCCACACCGCCCCGCTCCGCCCCACCCCCACCACTCCACACCCGCCCCGCTCCGCCCCACCCCCACCACTCCACACCCGCCCCGCTCCGCCCCACCCCCCCCCCTCCACACCCGCCCCGCTCCACCCCGCACCGCCCTGCCCCACCCCACACCACCCCGCTCCACCCCGCCCCGCCCCGCCCCGCCCCCACCACTCCACACCGCCCCGCTCCGCCCCACCCCCACCACTCCACACCCGCCCCGCTCCGCCCCACCCCCACCACTCCACACCGCCCCGCTCCGCCCCACCCCCACCACTCCACACCGCTCTGCACCGCACCGCCCCACACCCGCTCGCACCACACCGCCCCGCTCCACCCCACACCGCCCCGCTCCGCCCCGCTCCACACCACACCGCCCCGCTCCGCCCCGCTCCACACCACACCGCCCCGCTCCGCCCCGCTCCACACCACACCGCCCCGCTCCGCCCCGCTCCACCCCACACCGCCCCGCTCCGCCCCACCCCCACCACTCCACACCCGCCCCGCTCCACCCCGCACCGCCCTGCTCCACCCCACACTCGCTCCGCCCCGCCCCGCTCCGCCCCGCACCACACCGCCCCGCGCCACACCGCCCCG